CAAGCAGCTATGATAACCTTCACTCTCATTGCAATGTCATGTCTCAGGAAAAGAAAGGAATAACAAAGGATTTCAAAATCTAGCTTTCATAATTATCAGTGCGTGGTGACAAAATTAACTATTTTTTCACCATACTTCTCATTTAGAATCCAGATAAGGAATATGTTTGCAAGTAAGCATCTTGATAAATGCACCCCTTCAGACAGCCCTACATATAGGTACACACCAGGTGCCAACTTTGCCCTGTTAAATATCTCATGTATGTGACAAGCATAACATTGAATAATCCATCAAAATCAGTGTGATGTGATCCCATAATCACATAAAAAGCTTAATTTCATCAAATGCAAGTCTTGAATTTGAAAAATTCTGGATGTACTGAACACCCTTCAGGCTTATGGTGTTTTTAAGGGCAAGCTGAACTCACAATGAAATATAACAGCAGCCCTTTATCTTTCTGGTTAAATCAATTGAGAATAAACTCTCATTTACAATGCCAACCCAAACAGTAATTTATAATTTATACAGCAGAGCATTCTGCTGCAATGTGAATTAAATACTTAGCTCAAGTTTACTCCAGATTTGGGCCCATAACCTTCTAGTTACAACATCTAGAACCCCTAACCACTATTTTGTTTCACTGAATTGTGTGATATAAGAATATAAGCTCCAGTTTCACTACACTAGAAAGCAGAACCATCTATTTTCTTCATTTTCTTGCAGCATACTTGAGTAAAAGATTACATTAATGTTTTTTTTTCAGCAGTTGTTAAGACTGATGCATGGATTGGTAATATGCTTACAACTCTTTGAATTCAATTTATCATAATTCTAAATTTCTATAGCATGCTCAATGCTACATCTTCAAAAGCCTAATGTGATGATACAGTGTCCATGAAAAATATTTCTAAAAAACACAATCAAAATTCTTATGCAGTATTCCATGCATGCAATGCTTAGACCGAAAAAAAATCATTTTTGATCCACAGCCTTGAATTTCAGACACGCAGTCTGAATGACTCATGTGAATGACAGAAAGATGGTGACATGATTCAACAAAATTGAACATTATAACATTGAACAGTAGAGGTAATAGTCACAAAAGGACGACTAACAGAGATTGAGGGTAAATAATACAGCAATAGAATGTATACACTATGCAGTGTTTTGGAGGGAAAGGAAGGATATAAGACTTGGAGGTTTAGTACCATGCTATAAACATAATTCTTTGCCAGGATGATTGAAGAGTCTCAGGATCTGTAGAGGGCAGATTTAAGGAAAAACTAAAAAACACTATAGACCGCCACATTCATATGTAAATTATACTGTAGTCTTAGATGATGAAATCAGGAATATTTGTGGGGAAATTAAGTGGTTATCATGAGAAATTGTAGCTTTCCTCAGATAGACCAGGAAAAAAACCATCAGGGATGTCAGCAACTAGAAATGAAGTGGTAGACATGGCTAACAATTGTTTCCTTAATCAGTTTGCTCATGACACCAGGATAAGACAAACAGAGCTGACAGAACAATTGTGGATCTGTGATAGGTAGAGTCCAAAACAAACATTTATGATTTTAGGTGAGAAGACAGTGGAAGAATTTTAAAAAATAGGATAAGGCAGGTATGGACACAGTAGTGAACCGTCAGCAACTTGATATTTTTATATCTATATCTAGGAAGCAGTAACTAAGAAACACACAAGGAAAAATAACCACATAAAACAAATTTCAGTTAAACAAGCTTAACTGAAAAAAAATACAATGTATGTACACAATGGATTAAAAAACATGGGTTACTAGAAAGGTTAGGAAAGAGATAAAAAAGAATATTGAAGTGAAGACTACAATAATCAGCTAATGTGTTTTCAGTATTAGAACAGCCAAAGAACAGCACAGTACTATCTCAGAAGTAATAATGAGAAACGTTTAGACAATGAAAGGGGGATGACTAATATAAGAAATTGAATATTTCACGTGTGTTTAACAAGAAGAAATCAACAAGATGCCTCAGGCTGATAAAAAACAAAGTTCTATATTAAAATATTTAATGAATTGGTATTAGAATAAGATAGGCAAAGTCTTACTGGTTCAAGTAGCAATTAAGATGAGCCAATCACAGTGGCATGATAGTACTCACGGAAACAAGAGACACTAAAGACATATTGCTAATGTTTAACGCATTCATTGTCAGGATGAAAAACCTGAATGATATAATTATACACATGCTTGTATAATTCAGGGGTGGCACAGTGGCACAGAGGTGAACACTGCTGCCTTAAAGCACTGGAGCCCTGTGTTCAGTTCTGGACCTGGGGGGTATCTATGTGGAGTTTGCATGTTCTCCCTGTGTGCACATGGGTTTCCTCCAGGTACTGTGAGAGTGTGTGCATGTGTATGTCTGTGTTAGCACTGCGATGGCTGGCATCCCATCCGGAGTATACCCTGCCTTGCACCTACTGCTTGCCAGGCTGCCCTGAACTGGTTAGAGAATGGATGGCTATTCATATAATTCCTCATATTACATGTAAAGCTATGGAAATGGCAAAATCAAAATTAAATCTATCATCAATTAAATCTAAATTAATCTAAATTAAACTAGAAGATCATCGATATGGAAAAGGAATTATGAGTTCCTAGGATTTACAAAGAAAAACCCTTTCCCTCTTTGTGTTCAGAGTTGTTTTGTATAAAGAAATGCTCAACCTGAATGATCGTTAATATTTACAGGACAGGCACATGTCAGTGGTCTGGACAGCACTAAGCTGGTTAGCAGACTAGGAAAAGGAAAAAAAAACGTTTAATGAATGCAGACCAGAAAACAACTGTTTTTTTACCAGGATTATGTTAATAAGCTTCCTAAATCCTGGAAAAAAGCACGATCAGATGAAAAACAACTAGCTTTAGAAACTTTGGAAAAAACTGCATGGAGGAGTGTCCCCGTGACTTTCCTTTGTTTGGGGATGCCAGATTACCTGTAGCCAGAGATGTATGTAAGAGAAAGGCAGCTGTGAACTTCATGTAAGGGATTTGGGGACTGACAGTATCAGATGCTGTATGCAGCTTCAATAAAAACATATCAATAAAAAGTAGAGGCCAGAGTTATACACAACTATATAACTACCACCTAGATCATGCAAAACACAGTGAAGTGTCTGGTGCAGAAATAGACACAACTCTTAAGTTGGCTATTCTCTTACATGTTTTGTCTGTGGAAACACACAGTACCCTAATCATGGTCACCACAGAGACTCAGGTTTAACACTGAGAGGAAGTTAATTTGATGCTTGAGATCAGCTCTCTGGCAACATTCCTGAAAAGACACCGATGGTGGTGGGTGTGATGACTCAGCAACCAGCTTGTTTACAAAAAATCAGCATGAAAATGTAATTTTCAAAAAAAGAATTTTTCCTAGATTATCCGGGAGCCAGAAAACAGTTGACATCTAAAAACACTGTTAACCTTTCTTTAGAACCAGTCAGGGCTTTCCCCACCTGTCCCATTAATGAGATGTGCATTTCTAATCAGATGAACAGACAACACACAACCTCAGAAAGCAAAGAGACTCGTAATTCTGCTTTGCATCTATTCACTCAAGACTCAAGATAAGTAACTGAGGCCGGAAATTCCCCCCTTATTATTCATATATTCCATAATTCATAGAAACATCTGCTTCTTCTTAGGATCTTCTCAATCCAGAAGATGATTTCTTACAATGCAGATATGTAGACATGAAAGTAAACTGCAGATCCCCGTGAATTGAATTAAGAAACTTTACAGAGTGCATTATAAACCCACCACATGAATAGAGGATCTGCTACCAAGTCACAATCTTGTCATTTCAGGTCAAACAATTTAAGAATGAAGAACGTCAGAACCTTACATGTCCTTTTTTCTTTCCTGTTGATATACCTAATTTTTAAGCATTTGTGACCACTTGAACTTGCAGTTATAAGCCTTATATCTGCCCTCATTCTGTTTCCATATCCTTCCCTGACCCTCATTTCCCCCTATTTTCCCATGATCATGCAGCCATTTCTTGAAAGATCCCAGCTCATCTGCTCTAACAACAAGGCTGGGCAGTTTGCATGACATACCTATCCCATAAGACACAGACATTTACAATACCTTGTGAACCTTAAAACTGCCTGTGATGTGAACTGGAACATAAATGATTTTTGGAGTACTACATAAAATATTTTAAGGATTCCTAAACACAGGAAAATGATTCAGATTTTGATTTAAAAAAATGTTGCAGCAGAAACCACAAGACACGATTCTTCATTGGTAAAGATTATAAATAGTATTAACATTTACGGCCTCACAATGCGGATGGGCGGTATTGGTGAACCCTCCTGCTTATTTCCGAGGCCACTTCAAAAAAGCGACAGAGGAATGGAAAGAAGTGAGTGTGTTAAAGGAAACTGAAAATACTGTAGTTAGCAGAACTATGAGAAGCAATACAGATATGTATTTGTGGATATATTTAAAGAATCATATATTCTATTCTGTATATTATAGAAAATGATAATGTAAAGGATTATACTAACGATTCTATGTATATTTTTTTGAGAGGATGTTTGAGGTCTTGACGTCTAGGAGCGCTGTTTGAAGACTTGGGTTCGTGACAAGCTTAAGAAAGTGATTCAAACGAATCACAATATATGCAGAATTATGTACCTACATCACTTTAACAGCAGACTATCCCTTGTTAAGAAAGCTTTCTCATAACATGCTATCTCCAAAACTCATTCCAATAAGCCCAGGGGGGAAAAAAAGGATATTTTCCGATTGTTGTCCCTATGATAGATAGAACTGTGTGATTACATCCCATTACGGAGGAGAGCTCTAACACCCACCAGTGAATCTGGCAATGGCAGGACTAATTGGATATACTGTTTGCATAAGTTCATCCTGCCCTAGCCACTGAGCGCAGCGGCAATGTCGGGGCTCTGGAGAGGAACGGAGAGGCGTGTGACGCAGAGTCCGGAGCTGCGCTGTCTTCGGCGGGGGTGGGGTGGAGACAAGAGGCGAGATCACTGCCTGCCCAGCACTGACAGCAGCGGAGCAGACGCCGACGCAGTCAGAGACGGTAGCTGTATGGTACAAAACCATTATACCCTTTTCTCTTCTTCCTAGGGACCGGCTTTATGATTAAGCTACAATCTTCAATGAGTAAGCATATCCCTGTAAGTATCCCTCTTTTTTTAATAAAAGATATCTTGTTTTTTTTTTCTAGTCCTTATCCTACACTGTGATACAATTTGGCTACATTGTGGCCTCTTTTCTAACTTGCCATTATTCGCCAGCGTGTCTTTCTTAGGGGGGAGGGTAAATTCTGTCGGTTACATGTCACACGTTTTTTATGATTTACTTATCGCTGTCAATGTATGAGTGCGTGGTTGCGAATTTAATACTGGTTTCTTGCGCTGGTTGTTAAATGAATGCCGGCGCGGATCGTGAAGGCACGCCTGGGCAAGACCGCCTACTGCATGCCTGGGAACGGGTTCCTAGGGCAATTTCTCATGGTAAACAGTTTAATTTAGCAAATGCTTCAGTAACTGTGTTGCATATGTCGTATGCAACATATGCTGGGTGCTGTTTATTATGCTCATGACGATTTATAAAGACGATTCCGTTTTCAAGACGCATCTTAATCGGAGTCCAGTGATTAGGCCTCAAACGACAGAGGCAGAAATTACAGGCTACACAAAGAGCTGCATTCGCCCGCTCCCTCCCGATGTGTCGGGTTTATGTTAGACCTAAGTGCTTCTATTCTGTACATATCTGGTTTAACCTCACAAAACACGTTTTTATTTTTTTCTGATTCCAAACATTAGAAAATAGCCATTTTCTCCCTTTTACAGCAGGTATGGGGTGGTATACCCGCCCGGTGCAATCGGTTCATTGATTCCCCTCTTTTCTCACCCTCGTGTATTTTGTGTGGGGGGGGGTTGGGTTAAAAAAAAACATAATCGGCGTGTACAAGTAACATCAGGAAAATAAAAACTGAGACATAGAACACTAAGGGAAACAAATCGCGTTCGGGAACATGGTGGCGGACCTGCGCGGCTCCCGACTGGAAGCCTGTTTAATCCAGTTCGGTCTCAGAAGTAGGGCACGGGTTTGCCCTGGATCTCCCGGTTTATCATCGGCGCCGGTGCCCGGTACCGCGGGGGCCAGCAGCCTCTCTCTGTATGTAGGCATTTGAGCCGCGGCGGACGCCTTGAATTTGCCCCGAGAATGAAATTATTACCACAGTGGGTTATGCTACACAGTAGCTAAATTGTACATCAAGTGATGCTTCGGGATACGTTGCGTTTCGCAGTGTAGCTACAACGAGGAGGCGGAGCGGGGGGATTCAAGCAGGAACCTGCTTACAAAATGGCCTTACAGGAACGTGGTCGAAACTGCTAGTGCTGTAAATAATTAGGGCTCCCCTCTGATTTAAGCTTCCTGTTAGTAGCTTATAGGAAAGGGAATGTCGAGTTTTCCGTGGAGGGAAATTTCCGCCAATTCTAAACATTTTATTAGCATTGGATTGTCAAAGTAACACTTGTTTCCACGATAAGGGTGTAGATTTTAAAAAAATACGTTTAGCTTTATCAAATATTAAATATTTAAAGTCGTGGCTTTAAATAAGGAACGCACGGTTAAAAAAATCCTGAAGCGACCCTTTCCGTTTTTACGACTATAACTAACCGGTGCCAGCAGGGAGAGAGAGAGAAAGCAGCTCTTGCGCTGAAATCCGTTGCTCCCTGAGCGGGCGGCCTGGTCCAGTGAAGTGCGCAGCGTCACTTGTGCCACTACAGGTGGACGCCATGAAGTCATCTTGACTCTTAAACCATTTTTTCTTTCATCTGCCAACAGATGTAATCACATGATATTAAGAGTCGCCGCTCAAGGCCTGATTCATATAAAAATGAGCCTTATGTCGAGTGTAGAAAAATGTTTTGCCGTCTCATGACTATGACTCATTGATGCTCATCTGATAGATTCGTTGTGTGAAGTCCCTTTTGATTTGAATGCAGAAGTCTTACCTGCACCCTGTTTCCCCTGAATTAGCTGGACAAAAGTGTTATTCACAGCACAGAGGTGGCTGGCTGATACTTCAAACCTTGCCCATAACTAATATAACTTTTTTTTTTAATGGTGTGCATAGATAATTATTTTCTCTTTCCCAACAGCGTAGGTTAATTTTAAATGTAGCATGGTAGTGTTTTGAGGAAGTGCAGGTGGAGAAAGTGTGACCGGGAAGCATGGCCCAGATGTAACAAGGCAGATGTCTCTCTCAAAGGTTTTTACATAGTGCTCCTCTCTCAGGCTATGTGCTCGTTCTCTTAGATGTTTTTTCTTTTACAAGTGACGTAGTAATTATCAGTCCTAGAAATATGTACAGCCACATTTCAGATCTTTCACATCAGTTGTTGAAGCGTGGGACACTATAGTCTGAAACTGTTCCATGTGTTTCGGGAGTATTCACAGGGACTCCTCAATGTGATGCACAGCCAGGAGGTTAAGTGCTCACGAGAATTGTATTAACAGTCCAGCTAATCACTGGCATATTCTGGTCTCTGATTCTGTGGTGCCTTTGCAATAAGTATTGCTAAGCAGTGACTGAAAGAGGTTAGGACTTTAACAGAGGTTTTTAAAGTAGATATGACTTAATGGTTGATACTTGGTTTGTAATGGTAAAGATCCTGTACACTTTACAAATTATTTTGCTGAAATACAAATGACTTTGTGCAAAATGGTAAAAACAAGTTATTTTAAGGTAAAATATGCACATACTATTCTTGTTACAATTCCATTTTATGTCTGAAACCAAAAAGATTTTTTTAGACAATCATGGCTGAAGAACACATGCTTTACTTCCAAGCTTCCCCATCATCCTGAATAGATCTTAATTTGTTTAGATATTTAAGGTATTTATCTTCATTTTCTTCCATCTTATTCACCTGTTGGAGGTTAGCCATACTTCAGTTTGCGTACTTGCAGAAAATGCCAAATGGTCTATAAAATAGTGCATATGAATCATGGTTGTGTGATTCAAGTACTTTTTAAGTGTTCATTTTGTTGAAGGTTTATTACTATGCAACTGGGACATTTAATGACGCAGCACATTGAGAAAAGCACAATAAAGCAAAGCTGAAGACTTGGCTTTTATAGCCACAGGTGTAGATTATGATTTGTTACTTGCAATTCAGCACAGTTTTCTGCCTTCAAAAATGTTTTAAAAAACAACAATCAAAGGAGTTCCAGCTTTTTGATTTGTATTTGCAACAGTTCAGTCAGGATAAATGTCACATTCAACATATCATCTTTAGAAAGTGTTTAGCAGTGGGGTCGGCCAGGGTTCCTGTGAACACGTGTTAACGCTTGTACTGGTGGTTTCTCTTGCAGCAGTTCTGTGGTGTTCTTGGTCACACATTTATGGAGTTTCTGAAGGGCAGTGGAGACTACTGCCAGGCACAGCACGGAGTCTATGCAGACAAGTGAACTCTAGAAATTCATTACTACTCCACACAGAAACCCCCTTAGGAGCTGAGGCGGCGCTGATAACCTGGATAAGAAGCATTGAATAGTCCCGGCAGAGCACTTGTCTTCACAGAGGAGCTCGAACCTGGATGGGGTAACCTTTGGTGCACTGCCTTCTTTGTTGGCTTCAGTATTACTGGAATCAAGAAGATCTGCTGCTTTTTATTTAGTGATCCATTACCAGCCACCTACCCCCAGCTTATTTTCCTAGACCTCATCTTTGCAGAGGAGAGAATTTCCAGTGGAGTACAGTGAAAGAAAAAAAAGTCTTTTTTCCCATATATCCACGTCAATTTGTATTGGATATTTTTAAGCATTTTTTGTTATTATTGTTGTTCTTTATTAAATTTGTACAAAACCTTTTTTAACAATGGCCCGAATGAATCGCCCTGCCCCTGTGGAAATCAAGTACAAGAACATGAGATTCCTCATCACCCACAACCCCACTAATGCCACTCTGAACAAGTTTATAGAGGTGAGTTCCGCACACCATCAGAAAAATATCTGTGACACCCATGATTTATAGAAAGAAGAACTGTAGCTTTACTCTCCATAATATAAACCAGTGATCCTTTTTCCCATGTATAGATTGAATCCAGTTTTTTTAATGATGTTTATAACACAATTTTGGGAGGGATGATAGCAGCCAATTTCCATCAGCCTTGGCTGTCAGTAATTTGTAATAATTTCCTGACAGTATTGCCTCACCTAAAACATTATAAACACTATACTTAATCCCCTTCTCCCTTAAATATATTACATTAAATAGATATGATACAATTTTTTACTTTGAATACAGGGGCTTGCTGGAATGTTTGTAATCTGTAGCTCCTCAGTACTTGGTCGTTAAAGATTCCATGGCACTTTTCATAAAAACCTAGCGGTTAAATTCCACTCTTTTTTCCAACATTTTCTTAAAGTTCCCCCTTAATTCGGCTGGTAAAGCAGTTTCTCCTTTCTCCACCTGATCTGTTGTTTGCCTAGTGTCACATAGTGTGTCCTTAAAGTCACCTCTGCTTTAGTACCAGATGAAGTAAGTTCCACTTCTATATGGTATTAAAGATTAGTTTTGACTTGAATGCGATTTTGACTTGTTGCTTTGTTTTAAAGGAACTGAAAAAGTATGGTGTTACCACGGTGGTGAGAGTTTGTGAAGCTACCTATGATACATCTCTGGTGGAAAAGGAAGGCATTCAGGTTTTGGTAAGTGCTGAGCAGGTTCATTTATTGGGAATATCCGGTTCCATTTTCCCACTTGGAATCCATGAGTTCAGGTGAAAAAGATTAGTGGTGGGTCTGAATTAGACCAATGCAACAATTAATCCATTTGTGCTTTATTTCATTTGGTAAAATGAATGGAAACTTCAGAGTGGTGACGAATGTTGGGAGAGGGATAGTTGGTTTGTTAGATTAGACTTGACATTTTCTTTTTCCTCAACACTGCCACGTTTCTATGCAAAAACTATATAATCAAGTTCAAGGTAACTGCAACAGCTGCTTTTAAAGTCAATTATTTTGGTTCTCTGTATTTTGTTCTGTTTCAATAATCCTGTTAGAATAACTTTATATTCAGATAAAATGCAGTATCTGAGCATTAAGGTTCAGCTTTGGCTGAAATTCTAGCCTGTTCTCATCAGACATTGGAAGCTAAGCCAAGCTGAACCTGGTCAGTACTGGCTGAGAAACTAAGGAAAATCAAGTTGGTCTTGAAGTGGTGTTGGTGGAAAATCAGAGGTGCTCTTCTTTCCTCACCGAAAAGTGGTGACCAGGAACACGTTAGGAGAGCTGAAGGAGGCGCCATCTTCTGATGAGGTGTTAAGCCAAGGTTTCTTTTTACTCTGTCATTTAAAGATCCCATGACATTCCATGGCCCGGTTGTTGAACTCATTTACCTGTGTGCAGGTGGGGCTCTAGAATTGTGGGTTCAAGCCTGTGGGTGATGTCACTAGCTGACTGCCAGGGGGAGTTTCTTAACAGCGCACTGTGGTGCACAATCGACTGAGTGCTGTCGAGGTTATGGCAGGATTAGTTGACCGGGGTGCGATCACTGCCATCACTGATCTCTGCAGCCTTGTACTTGCTAAAATTTTCTCAGTCTAGCCTAGTTTACCTCAGTTGTTGAAAGTTGTTGCCTCACTTCTTTGCCTAATCTGCTGTGTGGTGGGACTGTTGGCCCATAAGGGCTGCTCTGTGACAACCAGGTCGGAACTGTACTTCAGAGGTCGATGGAACATGTCCCTCATGGATGAGAAGCACTTTAGAATCCTTAGGGGTGAAAAGCACTTTATAAATGCGAGGAATTGGTAGAATTTCATGCTTTTCTGCTCTGAATGTTTTCTACAGGATTGGCCATTTGATGATGGAGCCCCACCTTCCAACCAGATTGTCGATGACTGGCTGAACCTCCTGAGGGCTAAATTCCGTGAGGAGCCTGGCTGTTGCATTGCTGTCCATTGTGTAGCAGGACTTGGCAGGTGTGTTTTGTCTTCATTGTGTTGCTCTTTGAAGAAGTAACATTATATGAATAATGAAGTAACATTTATTTTGTTACTAATCTTCCATCCACTCTTTTAACATCTCAATTGGCAAAACAAATGACCTGTTCTAAGATGATTCTTCCTTTGGAAAGTTTATTGTAGCTATTGTTTTTATTGGTTCTAAAAAACGGTTTAGTTAATGATAGAGGTGTCATTTACATGTCTTTATTTTACAGAATTTTTTTATATGTTGGCAGCACATAATTTGAGAGTCAGGCTTAAAATCTTAAAAATATACAACACTTTGGTAAATGTTGTTGCATATGTTTGAAACAGTACATGACCCACTTTAATACTGAAGAAATATCAAGTCTTAGCCAATTTGAATTAAGGGGAGGAGTATGTACATTTAATCAATATATTGCAGGCATTTTGCATTATAATTTGGTCAATGAAATGACTTTTTTTTTTAATTTCTGTCCAAAATTGCTTTCCAGAGCTCCAGTCCTGGTTGCCCTTGCTATGATTGAGTGTGGAATGAAGTATGAAGATGCAGTGCAGTTTATAAGGCAGTAAGTACCATTTTGAACTTATTTGTGCTTATCCAGCTAGGGTTTATCTTCAGGATAGACAGATTTTGAAGGACTATTCTACATCTTCATTAGAAAGTAGAAGGGACTATAGAGAAAAGCAGGATTTCCAATTTCTCATGAAATTGCACCGATTCCTTCATCTTAATCATGTTGTGAAAGTATATATGTGGTTGTAAAGCTTTAAAAGCTGAACTATTTAACATATTCATTTTTTGATGTTTCTTTTACTGCTTTAAATAAGGGTTATTCGGGACTCATTGATTGGATCAATAATTGCAGAATTAAGCAAAGAGAAAAGGCTCGCATGAAGCACCGCTTGAACTGAAATGACGACATTGATCTGTTCATTTCACAACTTTTCACACCAAAAGAAAAAGGTGTTTTTCTGCGAGGCGTCTCATTAACGGTTTCCCCTGTCGCACACCAGGAAGCGCCGAGGAGCCTTCAACAGCAAGCAGCTGCTCTACCTGGAGAAGTACCGCCCGAAGATGCGCCTGCGCTTCAAGGACTCCAACGGCCACCGGAACAACTGCTGCATCCAGTAGGAGGGGCGGCGCAGGAGACGGCACGGCCACAGCGCGGCTCTTGCGTTCGTTCGGACCCCGGAAGCAACTGTAGGACTTCAATACCAAATGGACGCTGTCGTTTCTTCCAGTGATATCTCCTGCAATGCTAGATATATTGTAAAAGATATTAATAGCAAACACCACCTTGTTGCAGATACTAAGCCCTGTTTTCCGGCATTAAAATCTAGTGGCCAACATGAATCTGAAGCAATTCTGAGAACCCAGATTAACAGTCTAGTATTTGCTTGAAGAGTTAACGGATGCAGCCAAAATATTAGTCTTAAAGATTTATTTTGTAGTGTTCAAATTGCAATTCTGACACACAGTAATATAAGTCATCATTTGGGTTATACCTGAGAACATCTTGCTAACAAAAACAACGATAGTTGTAAATGTGGTTATTTTTTCTCTTTTTTTTTTCTTCCCCACCACAGCTCCAAGCTTAGGTTAAGTAAAATTGGAAGTAAAGAATTTAAAATACCCTCTTTCAGTGGAGCTGAGTTATGGCGATACAATCGGAAAACTGACAGTGTGGTTGAAATCTGTGCTCCATGAAGATGAATGAATTGACACTGGTATGGAGTATTGGTAATGTTGTGGAAGCACCGTGGCTATGTGTTGGAGAGATGCAGCAGGCAGCAGCTTTGGTTGGGGTTTGCTCTTTAGTCATGTGCTTCACTCCGTTGGCTCCAGCAGATACTCTGCTCTGTAAACAGGTTTCCAGGTTGTCAGTGTAAATGAGAATTTCTTAATTCGCTTACCTGGTAAAATAAATGGTTAAATATGAGTGTTCGCTATACCTTTATTGATAGGATACAATTATGAAATAATCGATCTATATTGCTTTTTACACAGCAAAACGTTAGTGTTATATACAAAACAGAGCTGGGCTTCTCAATGAGAGACATCGCTATCACTAGAGCTGATTTCTTAAAAGAAACTGAAGTTTTGCACCTAAAGTTTAAGTGCTTTGCTAATGTAAAATATATGGAAAACAAAATAGCTTAAATTGGGCTATTAATGATGCTTGATTTCACCATATAATGTGATCCCTTTATCACGGTTGGAATGACTTAACCTTTAACTATACTTCTACAGAGATCCCTTCTGTTGCGCGGTAACTGTTCTTTTCTCTATTCCATAACCGGGACTCTCACTGTCTACCTTTCCAGTCAGTAGAAACAGGTGTCTTTATATAGACTCCTTAAAGACGGTACATTTGGTCTCTAAAGAGCTTGTGTGACAAAAACTTTAGTTGAGGCTAAAAGCATCACTCAAACAATTCCACACCTGGGAACCAAGGGGGCACAAAGGCATCCTTGTTTGATGTTGTGAACTTAGTTTGACTGTCTTGCAGATGAAGAATATTTAACCCCTCGCTTCATGTTTTTAATGCTAGAGAGCTGGGCTTTGTGACTGAGTAGCTCAAGCAAGTTGGCCTTCCAGCACAGTGCAGTACCATTGCGATGTCTTTTCTGATACCCCGAGTGAGGCGCCAGCGATGAGCCGCTTGCCCCTCCTGAAGCAGTGTGGGGGTTACTGAAGGGGCCCCACCCAGCACGCAGCTGATTACTTTTTTTGCGTTATTTGCCATCTGTTTACAGGTGCTTCCGTGGGAGGTAAGGCCTGGCAGAAATTCAGTGTAGGAACGCCCACTTTATGGTCTAAAGGTAACTTTTTATTTCGAAGGAAGTTAATCTGCACTTAAAAATCTAACCTTGACAGATGTTGTACTTGTTTTACATTGCTTTCGAAGTATTTTAAGGATATAGGGGCATTAGGTGCCAAATTTACAGAATTAGTATTTTAAGTTGCCATTAGAAGATTGAAGGGTGTGGACTACCTGGACACATTGCACTTGATCTAATCATGAGAGGGATCATCAGCCCGATGGGGATATAATCTGAAAGACTGGCTTCTCACTGTATACACTTGTTTACACCTTATCATTTCAACATTTTAGGAGGGCTATTTTTGCACAATATGTCACTTTTCCTTCTGTTAACTTCTCAATAAAAGACAACCTTCTGTTTTCATCCTGCAAACTGGTGACCTTTTACAATCCAAGATTGCCGCCCAAAAAGCTGTACCATTCTCTTTAGACTGTAGAAGCACATGCTTTCCTTCTACTGCTCATATTTAAAAGCCTTACTCTTAGAAACAGCGCGCTCTTCAAGTGCAGTTTGGTAGGGCTGGAAGCATATATCTGGGAGGGGCTATTTAATATTTCTATGTGGAAAAACAGCAAAAAATGTTGCCTTTGTCTTGTGCAGAAAGTACATTAGAAGTATGCCCTTCAGTAAATATTTTTTAATACATGCTTTGTTATTGTAGCTAAAGATTCTTATTGTATAATGAACTTCTCAAAACCCTGTAATTTTCTTTCAATGTATGTATCAAGACTTTGTTTACCAACTACTGCTTTGTCTAAAATGTGATTTCTTCAGTTTTGGCTTCAAACTGTAGACTTCCAATGTCTACAATATTTTGTATGCCTTTTTATTTGATCTGCATAATGTAATACTTGGATACTTGATAATTTATGTATTTGATGAAATGGTGATGTGTATTAATGTTAGATCAACTATTTATACTGTAAATGGGAACGTGTGGTATAGTACTGTGGGAGAAGTAAATTGCCAGTGTTCACCAGCTTGTGAGAGAGCTTGTACATCTAAATAAACACTGAAAATACAATTATTCTTCTGTTTGAATGTTTGTAAAGTGTGATGCTTATTCTTGTGACAAAGCTTCTGTCCTGTCTGGGGATGCCTTTTCAAGTCCTTGTGAAAATATTTGGATAATGGAATAAAATGGGTGTAAGAATGTAAGGTGGTAAAAGTCTGACAACAAATTGAAATACAAGAGAAATTCCCCCTGCACTAGGGATCATGTGGTTTGTTTCCCTGGCCTTATGGTAGACTGATAAGGAAAAACACTTATGATGCTTAAGTAAATGAATATTTAGACACTACCTACAAAGACTGCCAGCCCCTAAGTCACAGGCCTGCTACAGCTGGAAGCTCTTGCAGACTGACCAACCTTACTGAAGACCAACAGACCTTTGATAACCTCCAACGGAAACCAACTATGACTGATTAAACTAACAGCGGGTTTTGTTAGTTTTATACAACAAAACACCCTCCCCGGGACAGTCTTTTCTGTAAAACCGATGCCAAATAGCAAAAAATGTCTCTAAACTAGATAATGCTTCTAAGAGATGAGTTACAAGTTCTGCCAGGCAGGTACTTAATGGAAATCTTTTTCCAGAAACTAAAGAAATTTCTATGTAAATTTAATGCTGGTTTCTTCAGTGCTCAGAAATATCTTTTATTTCCATCCTCTAAGAAAAAATTGCTGGTGCTTTGTCGGCAGGGAATTGGAACTCTCCTGGTGTCTGTCTTCAGCTCTGGATGAGAAAGTAATGACCAACTATTTCTAATATATTAATCAGGTCTTCCTTGACTAGTTGCTTCTCTCCTGTTACTATTTTCCTCTACCTTGTCTGAGCATCTTTCACAAAGGTCTCTGCCTAATTGTACCTCAAACTCGCAAGGGAGGAATTATAGTATATATGAGGTTATTGTCAACACCAATTATCGGTCCCTAGGCCACTATAAGTCATAAGATCACCCTTGTTCAAGTCTGGCTTAGCCACAGACTTCTGGCTGGTGGTTAATTGCAGAGAACACTAAATACGCTCACAAACCTCCACCCTCTATACACAGTGGAGTTACTTAGCAGTTGGGTTGTGTGGGCTATTTGTGTTTAGCCCTGGTTACTGGCCTGTATTACCTGAAAGGTATAGAACATTAAATGGCTATGTCACGATCCATATAGGTTTAACTAATACATCCTCCAGCAGATCAAATGATCCACCACGAACTTTGTTGGTAGTGCTGCCACTGTTCTAGGTTTTTAACTGGAGAAAATGGTCTGAGGCATTATGCTGTGTGAGTATAGAGATGGTCATATTTTGATCACTTCAAGTCATGTTATTGTTGGGTGTGTGGCTCTCCCTGCCCCTCCTGAGATTCAATTCCGGTCGCTCGTGGTCTCCAAGCACACATGGTGTCACACCATAGACAGCCACTCTGCCACGGCTAAATGCTGGTTCCTTCACCACAAAAGCACTGCACATGCCACCATGTACTACTGCAGCTCTATTCTGCCCCTACCAGTATTAGGCTGTTACTAGTTGCTACTAGTTGTTACTAGAAGTCTGCTGCACTACAAGTCTGTGTCCTCTAACAGAGTTTTACTCTGTCTAAATTCCAGAGCTGGGTGATGTCATTGATGTCCCTGCTTCAGTGCATTATATACAGTACAAAACATTGTTTTTACCTGCCAAGAAGTTCTGGTTTAAATCACTGATTGCCTGATTTACTGTAGCACAGTTCGCCTTTTCCTGTCAGTTGTAGTGGCAGGCATATTTACTGGCACATTAAAAACAGTAAGTTGCATGAGTATTTTATGATTATTAGGAATCAGTCAGCTTAATAATAAGCAGTCTCTGCTAATGGATTCTAAGAGCACAATATATAATGTTATTGACATAATAACAAAGTGTGTATATTGAATAGTCAAGATTAATAGTATTTGTGAAACAATCTTCCTGGATTTAGAAAAGGCTGATTATTAATTTGGGGGTTACAAAGATACAAATATTTTACTTAAACACTGATTACAACATTTACCATAGTGTGCCTTAGAGCTTAATCAGCCTCATGCAATTCTTCAACATTTGAGTACTTGAAGATGAGTGACATATAATGACAAATGTGAATTAGATGTCATCAAAACATATTTGGGATAACTCTCAACATCTACGATATGAACATTGAATGTGAACATCCCTGTGCAGGAAGCGTTGTCCTCAATATCCCACCAGCGGTGATGTTGGTGTAGGAGAAAAATGGGATTTTGCAGAAACTTCACGCTGACAGATAGTTTCACAGGAAGCACCTCTTCATCCATGTTGAGCTGAGTTTTTAAAAGTTTTTGTTCAAAGTTGGACAGCAGTCCAATTGAATGTGATGGGTGGGGAGAAACTCAGTTTGATCCTAGGTGTAGCTGCTACCTTTTGAATATATGGATATTCAGGGGTGTTGATTCATCTTAGGTCTCATTAAACTAGAGGAAGGCTGGCCGGTCAAATAATTATAGGACTTCACATTTTAGAGACAACCTAGAGCAGAATTCTGCTTACTGTACACAATGCTGTCAGCCTGGCGTCTTGGACAACAGTGGTTGCAGTCACATTGCTTCCTGTCAGATTGCCAAGGTTCAACTGAGAGAGTGGAGCAATAAATTGGGCTGTGCAGTACCTTTTAAATGTGGAAAAAACAGTTGTGATCACTTCAGTGTAGTGTCTTCTCCCACCTTGCAAGTTCCTCACTGGTTTCTCATCGTAAGGATGATTGACTGAGACCAGCTCTCAGTGGGGAGGAGAGCAGAGTAATGAAGCCAGTTCAGAGAGGGGGGTTATTAGGAGGCCATGATTGGTAAGGGCCAAAGGGACATTTGGCCAGGGCACCAGAGTAATACCCCTTCTCTTTTCGAGAAACGCCCTGGGATTTTTAATGACCACAGAGTCAGGATCTCGGTTTTACGTCTCATCCGAAGTACAGTGCCTTTTTACACTATAGTGTTCCCGTCACTATACTGGAGCATTAGGACCCACACTAACCTCATGTGGGGATGTCATGGTGTCTGTATCTCTGTATCTGTAGACGCAGAGATACCTGCGGTAGGTCATCTATCATCAGTACTGTCACAGGTCTGGGATGTGCTGCTTATAAAGGAGGCCAAATTACTCTGCATTCCTGAAGGCTTGAATCAGGCCGTTTTGAAAATCCTTGCCAACATTAATTTTTTTTATGTATTAATAAGCCTTGCTGCTACAAGGCACATTTTACACTCTTTTTTCCTGGGAACCCCTAGACATTCTCAGGGGATCTTCTTGGGCCTTCTATATTATTAAGAAACTATTTCCAAGAACTCAGATATGACTCATATGTAGTTTATATACAGTTGCTATGAGTCCTCGAGTTTTGTAATCCTGAAGCCATAATACAATACTTTGTGTTAGTGCTTCATATAAACAGCGAGGCTGAATTCCTAATATCACTTAAATGGCGTGACTTAAAATCCAACTCTTAAAACCAACAACAGTATAAATCATAAAAGCCAGACCCTATTTTTAACTCATTAATTGTTCTTTGTTAAAACAAGCAACATTTCATTATCCAAAATAATTCCTGAAATTTTGAATGTATTGTTGTTTTACGCAGCTCCTAGAACTTATGAAACATTAAATTCACATTTTTCATTTTTCACTTTGAAGAGGAATTCTTCTAGGAAGTGCATTCCATCTTTCTGATACTTTTATATAAAAAAAACAAAATGCATATTGTATTATGAATGCTAAACTCCACATGTCATTTTATAACAGAACATTTGATTATTACAAACTGCAAACAGGCATCCTCATTACAATGTATGTACATAAAATGGGTGCAAGAGGTAATGCTCTTATAACCTATTTAAAAAAGACCATGTCTAAAACATTGTGCCTTAGATGATTATTACTACTGTTATTGTCTTAAGAGTGGTAGTGTGGATGGGAGTCAGTCTTCTGGCATATAAAGCGAATTAACACAATAAAATGCGTGCTTCCAGGTCCCCTGTTCTTGTGCAGTGAAACGGTAAAAACAGAATGGTCCAGTCACAAAATTATAGTAACTGCTTACACTTCTACAGCGCTTTTCCGGCCACTCCACTCAAAGCGCTTTACAGGTAATGGGGACTCTCCTCCACCACCACCAGTGTGCAGCGTCCACCAATTTTACAGCTATTCTGGGAAGGGGCGTACAGAAGCGCACATGAGGCATTGCAATTTGAGGGGCGCGACATATCCTTCCCCAGGTCTGGAGCCACTGCGACCGAGGCGGAAGCGCTCGCAGCGAAGGAGACCACGACTGGCGGACGGCGTGGCTTCTCCCCCCACCCGGCGAGCAGAGCGGACTCCGCCTGGCCTGCAGTTCCCCGCGCAGCCTGCGGGGGCGCCGAGCGCAGTAAACACGGGTCACATGACCACGGCTCGGCTGCTGGACGCGAATGGCTGCAGCCCGGGCGAGAGACGGCCGGAGGAAGACTTGCCGCTGCCCAGGGTCGCTATGAGAGCGGGGCTCCTTTAAATACAGCGGGAGGCCCAGAAGTCAAAGTCTTCGGCGCTGCGGAAAGAAGGTAAAGAGCGGGCGCCGATGGCGCTTTCCGTGCTGTTGGGAGACGGGGCGAGCGGCTGTGGGCAAGGGGAAGGGGGCGTGATCGTCGCTGTGTGCTGTAAGCGAGCGAGGGCCTAGGAGCAGCGCTGCTCGGGTAGGAGGCGTAGGCCTCGGGGCTTCCTCGCTTTTCGCACTTGACCCGGGCTCGTCCCCCGCCGTGAGGCGAGGCGAGGCCGCGGTGGATGCGAGCCACAGGCCGAGTCCGAGGAGCCTGCTGCCCCGCTCGGGGCCGCTGCTGATGCGGGCAGGGCTCTGAGGCCTGCTCGGGGTATCGACCCTGCCGAAGCTGCAGCCCGTTTCCTGGGGGATTAAAACTGAAGCCTGCGCCTGTGCAAAACGGCTATTACACTTTTTTTTTTTAAAGTCACGAGCAATGTTTATTCCTTTCGTAGTTGCGGGAAAACATTTTTTTTTCGGCCGAGTTTAAAGGGACTCGTTGCATGTGCCAACCGAGTATCCCGTCGCTGTATCTCTCGTTCAGTAAAGTTTATCTGACGTCTTGACACAACTGAGTCATACAGGGCAGTTCAGTACAAATGAGTTTTTAATTACGAACTCTTTTGTAATTAAAAACAGTTCTCTGTGATAGTATGCACGTCAGAGTATTTTAATCAAATATCTAATCTTTTTTACTCATGATCCACTACGATTCGCAAACCAACTGGCATTCACGTCAATGAGAAGAAAAAAAAGCAGTTCAAAAAGTAGTTTACTGATCAGCTCAATATTTTTCTTCCTGAACACGTTATATACCGATTTGTTTACGGCGTGGTCCAGATATCCCCAGGATTTGAAGACCTGTCTCTAGTGGACGACACGTGGGTCAGTGCCTTCATCGTTCACCTGCAAGGAAGCGCTGTTTGTGTTGAGCAAGAGCCTCAAGCTATAAGAACTTCAGTTTTGCTGCTCATGCGTATTTATACTCATCAAACGTGTTACAAGAATTCAGAAGTGGAGCTGCATGCATCACACATTGCTGTCAGATATTTGTTTTGAAAACATCCCATTTGAAATCATAAGCTGTTCATCCCAGGAAAGGGTAAGCGAGGGAGATCGAGTTAGGGGAGAGTTATTTTCCCAATTAATGAATGTGAACGTCTTTTTGTCTTTGCACCTAACGTCGCTGTCAGTGAATTTGAAACAGCACATGTTCATATCGATAGTAAGGTCAATGCAGTTGTCTATCCCTGTAAACTTGCTGCTTCTTTAAAATAAGAGCTGATGGTGTGCCCTCAGTTGTTTTTGTATTTTTGAAATATTGTATTGATAGTATATGTATTTTCAGCTATAAAGTACTTTCAACACTGTTTGCAGAAATTAGGTGGTAGAAAAAGAACGCTTTCTCAATTTTGTGGGCTACCTAACAGCATAATGAAATTATCCGAAAGGAAAAATTCCAGAACTATAACTGCCCAGTATTAGGAAGCTAATATCCCACTGACAGTCCTTCACACACAGCAGGATCCCTTTGTCTTCATTCTAGACAATGAACAAGAACACGGAACACTGGGGTTATACTGATAATCAGCATTTTTTCTCCTGAATGATAAATGGTTATCAAACAGGTTGTATTCTGCAGTGTTCACTGTAAGGTTTGTGGGTTTATGGCCTGATTGTCATGCTGCACTTATGTCCTGATCTATCATTTTACCTGATAAACTATTCCAGCTGTTTAGAGGGAAAGTGTGTGTTGACATCTCCACTCCATAGGCTTCTTCCTCTTACTTTGATGTAATCTAGGACAAAAACTACATCTTGTTTTACCTCCAGAACAACTGCTCTCGCTGGGTTCTGAACAGTGCTTGCTGGTTTGTGAAAACCTGTTGTTTGTAGGACAGGGTGCTTATTTCTTTTTCTTTGAAGAAAGCTCTGTGCTTTAAGGTGGTTTGACATTTCGAAACCCTGTTTCTGCTTCAGTTGGTGCAACTGGGCAATTCTGGATAAGTGTCAACTGATGAGGTATTTTTGAAAAGTACACGTATGGTGCACTGCTTGGTACTACTGTTTAGTCTAAGACGCTACAGAGAAAAGCATATTATTTTCCTGAAATCGGTTTTAGGAAAGTGGTGTAAATGAATTAACCTTTTCATTAAATTTAATCAATTTCCCTTTGGGATCAATAAAGTCTTATCTATCTAACCTATTCAGCTCTTGATTAAAACGACAAATTGTGATATCTCCTATTGTTTCTTCAAAGACAATCTCTAATATAATGCTAATTAGGCCTCTTGATACTATTGAGATTATCCTAGTAAACAAATACTATAAAAAGTGCCTTTGACATCTGTGTATTAATGGTTTTGAAAATCTAATTACAATGTCAGTGACCAGTCTCTTGCCAATTAAACTTATTTTCTAGATCAAGAGATCAAATGTGATTAAAACTTTTTATGAGATGTTCTCTGTATTAAATTCATGCATAAAGATGAATGATCAAGATTCAGCTTTTCTTAAATGACGAAGTGGGGTAAGAAGCAACTGAAAAAACGGGCTTCATGATTTAATGTACCATCCTACCAATAGAGGGCTCTTATCTTCGATTCACTTTCTCTTTTGCAGTCTAGGTTTGATGCATGATGTTTGCACTTGGTGGCGGGGGAGGTGACCCCTAATTTATTGCTATTATTAATATCATGAAATGAATTCAATGAGTGGCCAAGTAAGGAGGATGGCACGACTGGAGGTGGTGTCTGGAAAGAAACGCACAAGTATGACACTGTTGTGAGGATGTCCAGGGTCTACAGTTGCAGATAGCACACAGGAGCTGAATGGAAGATGAGATAGTCTTTTAGCTGTGCCTGGAACACAAAAGCTATAGTGGAGCTTTAGCTCATTGTGTATCTGCAGCTCATTGTAATAATAATTCCTATGCAGTTATATAGTGTATTTCCTCCCAGTACAGCACTCACCTAGCTGACAAGCGGCTGCCGTTGTTCTGCAGTTTTCAGCAGATCAGGTGAAGACGCTTTGTTGAATTGAAGTATACGTTTTTGTGAGGCCAGTAGGATCGGTCTAGGATCTGATCGGCCAGTTCATGTACACTCTGTGTTCTGAGTGCGCAGGGTATAATTGTTTGAAACTGGTTCTGCTTTTCATAACACACTTGCACTTTTGTTGCCAGGAAACGTCAATGCAGAAACGTTTAGCCCTGTCTAAGCAGCCTGTGGCATGAGGAAGTGCCTCAGTAGCATACTGTCACTGATGGTCAGTGCATCATCAATAAGGTCATAATTAGTGGATGGCAACTAATGAAAATCTGTTGATTTAAAAATCCCTAACGACAACCACAACACTCATTTCAAATAGTAAAAATAGGCTAAGATGGTGATTTTTCTAAATTTCTTAGTCTGTTACTTCCAGAATTGCCCACTTGCTACAGGAATGCTACAGGTCTCAAATATTTTTTAAATATATATTTAAATATTTAAATTTAGGAATATATAGTAAAAGTCACAGTAGCGCGCTGCTGCTTGTCCTCTTCGTTGGTTTGTATTTTCCTTGTTAAAAGCTGTTGGTAAGTGTGCTTAGATTTTAGAATGTGATACAAAGTTACTGGAAGTTGGTGCTTTATTTTGTGTTTTTCAGTCTGAACTTCTTGCTCCTTAATCCCTGAGTACCAATATGCTTCGTGCCACATTTCCTGTGCTGACACCCATAGTGTAGAAGTTTAAAATGTTTTGTGGTGAATTCTGTGAAAGCAGTCACAACTGTGGCAAAATAACATCCCTATTCATGAGAAAGGAGTACCTGCCTGTTAGCACAAAAGTTTCAGACCTTTACAACAGTGTGTTCTCTTCTCATATCCATCATTGTAATGCATCTTACATTTTTCTCAGTAAGTTTACTGTCTAGAGAATTTGACAGGTTGCACTTGAGCCTTGTGAATGATTTTGACACCAAACTGTGTGGGGGTTTAGACATTTCCTTCACGTTATAATGTGTTGAATTACCTAGAAGAAAAGTGAACAAGTTTAAAAATAAGTCGACATTGTCAATTACTAAGTACAAGAGTGCTTTCTTGTAAAGGGGTTTTGTAGGACCATCTTTGCTACTTTTTAATAAACTTGCTTAATGCATATTCTTTTATTTCTGCAGAACTGAAAGAAAAGCGACAGCATTCATGGATATAGTTGACACCTTTAACCATTTAATTCCCAGTGACCAGTTGGATGACACCTTATTACTAGGGCCGAACTTGGACAGTGAAGTCAGTGATGAATTTGGAACAGGTCACAACTTACTGGAAGACTCTTTAAAGAACATGCTAAGTGACAAAGATCCTATGCTTGGATCTGCTAGTACCCAGTTTCATCTTTTAGATAATGATGATGCCAACTTTCAAATCGCTGACTCGACAGGTATCTCATCGAAGGAATTCAATTATAGACTTTTCTTGAAGGTTTTAATATTCACTGAAAATAGAATACCAATAATGACTGAAATTTTTAGAATAAAGGTACCTACACTATACACTGCCCTGCGGAACAAAAAAAACAAGCTTTGCTATCACAGAGCCAAAGCAAACTTTTTACAAGATACCAGAAATCATGTTTAGCATAGTTCCGACAGCAAATCACAATTTGTGCTGTATTTTGTAAAAGAAAAATCATATTCTATATTTGGCACATCTTGCCACAAAAAAATACAGTTTTTAAGTACAACTTTTTTGAAGCCACACTCCTTAGTTGTACCTTTGAACTGCAGCCAGTACTTCTTTCTGAATAATTTGGATTATGTTGACCTGCAAGACCTATTGTCCCATCTACTAGCAATGGGACAATTTGCTTTTCATTGTTACTAAAGCTGCAGGTTGCAGTTCCTTTGACCTTTTTTCATTTGTTTAGTGAAAAGATGCTTTTCTCACTGTTATGTTTGAGGTGGAGATCTGTGATGAGTTTACAGAGGGTGGACTGTTCTCGAGTGTTTTTGCTACATACAATAAACTAGGGATGACAGGAATACTTTTCAGGGCAGTGTATATGTAGCGTTTGTCCACTAAGTTAACAAAGAATTGCAAATAGACTTTAAGGTTGGTCTTTGTAATTTAAGCGCTGTGATTATATATGATTTTATAATTAAACATAGTTTAATATTTCATTGACTGTATATTTATCCTTTTTCCACATTTTTTTCTGAAAGGAAATTGCTAATTCAAAGCTAATGTATAATTTGATAATCTTTCCAAAAATAGATAGGCCTAAAAATTGTTCCTCTACAGGATAAACCAGACTTTTTTTGTTCAGGATTTTTTGCTCTTTATTTTTGTAAGTAGATTTTGTATTGTCAAGTTTAAAAAGTAAAGAATCTTGTACGATTTTAAAGGTTAAGTCTTGTAAGAAAATCAGGATCTTAATTTGATATGGTGGAAAAGTGCCTGGAAGTTTAAATTTGTAATTATAACGGTCATACCACTAGTGTTCTGCTTGTCTGTCTCTGTGCAGACTGTAGGTGTTTAAACTGTGAGGGGATCCTTGCAATCTGCATGACCATGAGACAAATGAAGATGAGGATTTTTCTTTGCTCTTGTCTTTTAGTAACTCTAGTCTAAGGTTCCTCCATGACACCATACGTAGATGAATGCTCAAAACTACAACCCATACTTTATTTCTGTCTTAAATTTGCCTTTACAACAAAAGAACATAAGAGGTTATAAATGAGAGGCCTCCTGTCAAGTTTGGGCTGTCTAGCCCATTTGGTTGTTAGCAGCTAGTTGATCCAGGGATCTTATTTAGCCATTTCCTGAAAGAAACCAGAGTATTGGCTTCAACCACATGGCTGGGTAGCTTGTTCCTTGCTTCCAAAGCCCTCCGGTAGAAGAAGTGTTGCCTGTTCTCCATTTTAAATGCACTTCCATAAAAGCTGTGCTTTCTCAGTTGTGCAAGAAGTGGATGTTTGTGGCACTTTTTGCCTGGAAATGTTTCCGTCTACTTGGATAGCAGTCTAGCCCAGGAGGGCGTGCTTGTTCTCTTCTGGTATTCCATGTGCTCAGCATTTAACCTCTGTCCTGTAATAATCTGGCATAGTTGGTTTCTGCATGTGCAGTTTTGTTAAAATGTTTGCATGTGAGAGTTATACAGTGTTTCATACTTCCTTTTGTTTATTTGCTAGTTTATTTTAAACTTTTCCTTTCAGAAAAAAAGTCTTACAAAAAGGTCTCTGCTGTCAGTTTATATTGGGAAATAAAAATATTATATTGAAATAAGATGGACCTTTATTTTGTTGAAAATCTATGAACAAGACCTAGGTCTACACCAGAGCTAGGCTATTCCAGTCCTCAAGGGACAGAATCCTGCATGTTTTAGAGGTTCTCTTAATTAGTAACCGATTACCTCGTAAAACATGTAATTTGACTTCTTATCCCAATAATGAGATCAGTGGAAGCTGAAGTTCAGAGCTGGAATGGAAACCTGCAGGACTGTGGTCCTCCTGGCCTGGGAATGCCTGGCTCTGGTTTACACTCTTGAAAGTATGAGGATGATCAAAGTGTAACTGCATGCTTTTTTGGTCAACAATGTGCTGCTTTGTTAAAATTTCTGTTCAACATTGTTTAAAGTGAAACTGCCTTATGTCTCTTAGAAATATTTATTGTGGGGATACTTTTATATTTCTTGAGGAGAACCCTGCTGAACCTTTCCAGAAGTACTGTTTTAGTACTGTGAGAAACTATTGCTCCTTATCACCATGAAACAAATTGTACTTTAGTCTTTTTAAATGCTTTCCAGTTTCTGTATTGCACAGTGGGGGAAAAAAGATGAATGCCGTATTAAATGCACATTTTGTAAAAATGAATGATATAAGAATGGCTTTGAAATTGGTATAGAGAATATTGATGGTGATCTTCTACTGTGCCTCACATGGGAGTTTCACTTTAGCAGTGTTGATATAAGTATTCCTTGTTATATTTATGAAAAGGTTTAGAGAGACTCCACAGCCTTTTTAATTTGCAATTTTTTAATGGTTTTTAATATAGATGTGACGGATGATTTCAGTTTTTGTAGATCCTCCAGTACCCCTAAGAATGCAATTTAAAGTGTATTATTCAGAAGATTTTATTTTTTTTAATATATAAAGGGTTGTGAAGTCCCCTGAACCTTGTGGGGAGATGAAAACTAGTAATTAAACCTAGGCCTATATTGTCTGTCTGTCTGTAATTGTTTGTCAATGTATATTTATACACGCATCAAAAATCAGAATGGTCAGTTGAGTATGAGAATTTTAGTAAACGGGAATCTCACCAGATCATCAGCCCCTATCTTTATCCATCATGTACCTGCAGTGTACTGGCCAGGAAAATATATCTGTCTGAGGAGAGTTGGCCAGTCTTATGATGCAGAGCCAAACAATAGGAGCCAGAGCCTCAGTACCATCTGGATACCTGGTTTTAGAGGGCATGAAGGTTCTCCAGGGTGGCAGTGAAATAGTAATCCGTAGAGTAGTGCCAGGCCGTCAGGTAGGAGTATTTAAGGACCTCTGCAAGTTCCGTTTCAGTGTGGAGAGGAGGTGTCAGTTGGCTATCTGTACACTAGTCGGTAGTTTTGGGGGGTTTTTAGCCTCAATGTAAGACTATAAGGACTGATGTATTAGTAGATCAGTTTGGGTCACATAAATCAGTATAGCTTGTCTTAGTAAAGATGGAAATTCCAAAAATAATGTTTTTGAATACAAAGATTTTATAGCAAACCATTTTTACAGTGCCTTTCAAACTTCATGATGATCTTTTTATGTAATATTTTATTGCTTGGGTATTTTTCACTAATTTAAGTGAGCAATTTGTATATGCAGACTTTTTTTTTAAATCTTACACACTTTTTTGAAAAGCATATTATAAGTGCAATTTTTCCCGATTCTGTAATAAATATACATATAGTTTGCATTAAAAAAGAAATGGAGTGCTTATTTTTTTAAGAATAGAAATTGTGCCACAGTAGTCATACTTTAAATTTTATGTATGCAAATCCTTTAAAAAGGATTTTAAAGGCAAACTATACTGAATATTGTATACTGTACATACTAGCACAATGAAAATGCAATTATTCAGATTTTTACAAAACTATTTAAAGCCTCATTGGGAAGTATCAATTTTCTAACAGCGCAATGAAGACCTCATAGTGCAAGGATTGCAGCGTTACTTTAAAGAAAACTATGCTGAGGTCATGGTCAGTGTTTTTCCTGACCTGTCCAGTAGAATCTGTAGGAATAGCTTGCACAAGTCAACAACAGGAGACAAGTGTGTGCTAGCAGAGTGTTACACAGTTTTCTGCTGGATGCCCTTTTTTCCAAGGACACTCTGAAATATTACTTTTCCGCCTGAGGATCTGATTTATGGGACGTGATCAGAGAGTCAATGCAGACATGGTTCAATGGAGTTTGTATAAGTTATCACACAGTAATGTTACTTCAAGCTGGTCCAGAGTTTGGAGCTCATCCACCTGTCTGGAAACCTTGTTCCAAACACCACTTCATGTAAAGAAAGCTCCTGTTTCAGATTAGTTACATCCTGTTTCTATGGTTGTGGCCCTATATCCTTATCTTCCTGCAGTAGTTAAAGATGTGGCCTCCTGGGTTGATCCTGTCTGTAACTGTTAGGACAGGGATGTCAAACTAATTTGCTATGGTAGGTCAGGTTTGGTTTAAGGGTTTTTCAGGTAGGCCATATATTATCACAATACTCGGCACAGACATTACACAATATTAAATTATTGGTATCTATTGTGCTGTAACATCAATTCTACAGATAGTGCTATTGCTTTTTAAGAACTGCTATCTGTTCAGTATAAATCAAATGGAGACTTTCGGCACATACATTTCTCCTATTCACTGGAACTTCACAACATTCAGGTTGATTTTTTTTTAATAACCACAGTTATAACCCTGGAATGAAGTAAAAAAAAATCAATTTGAGATTGTAAAAAAAGTCCACTAGTTAGGTTCAGAGAAACCAGTAGTGGGTCTGCGATTGGCTCCAGAACTTGAAGTGACTACAGGTCTCATGCCATCCAGGTTTTCTGCAGAGTTCACTTGCACACTCCTGTTAAACTAATGACACACAACTAGTTTGTACAGGGGTTTAGTTCCTGGAGACCCCCGAGGGTGAGGAAGCTGTGTTGAAGGAATAAACTTGAATAATTGAATTCATTAGAATGGGGATTAGGTTCACACGACACGCACTAGATTTGTAAATCTTGACTTGTCAATAGCCCTGATTTTTTTCCTAAGCAGTAATGTACAATACATGTAAATATAGTAATAAGACAGCATACATGAACTGTAGTGCAGAAATAGGCATGTTAATTACAATGCCTGACTGTTAGAATAATAACATAGAAATGGAATCTGATTTCCTCCCCACTAAAGCACGACTCCACCTTGTGCAAGACGACCCCACACATCTGTTTTCTGAGGTCGTTACAGACTGAATGCTTAGCAGCACTACTGACTCTCTCACTCGTAACGCACTTCGGAGCCTCAGTATAACACTAATATCTCAAAATCACAAGGGAGATCACTAAATACACTGAAATACAGGAGACGCAGTATGTAGGGTATGCGGTTTTGACTGGAATGGGGTTCCTTCCGAGTCTTTTGCAGGTGAATCAAAGCCTAGTGACGGATTCTACGGGATTTACAGGCAGAGGCCAGTGTTGAGGAATTCTGGTACAGTGGGCGGTTGAGTTGTTGGCTGGCATGTCTGCGGTGGTGTCTGCTGTAGAGAGCACACTTGCATATTTGGCTGGGACTCTGAATTTAGAAGGATCTGGTGTTAGTGCTCTAGTTTGCAATGACAGCGTTGAAGAGTAGTGGAAATGTGCAATGGAGTAAGTGCCATGTTAAATCATGCAAAGTGATCATTTGCAAGCAGGTGAGTTATAAGTGTGATACTTAGCGCCCATAGCTACTGTACCAAGTCTGATACCAAGATGCTTCTGAGAACCTTTTATTTTCGACTTGTGTACTTAATGAATTGTAGAAATTTCTCCTGGTTCTGTTGTAATAACTTAAATAAGACTAGCTCAGGAAAGGAAATTAATAAACCAGTCTGCATTCATGACAAATTTGGTGCATATGAGCTACTTACCTGGCTTGTGTAGAGAGGCAGACGATTAGCTGTTTACTGCCTGGAAATGAGATGGTTTCACAATTCCCTGCCCCCACTGCTGCATAAGCATGTGAAGAATGGAAATTGTTTTTCATGCATTTTGAAATCTAACACATTTAAAATTCTTGAGTAAATATCCGTATCTCCACCAAAAGTTCTCATTGTAGCACTCGAAATAGTTTTGTATCAATGGTTCAAGGAAAACTTGTAGCTGTCCTCCTCGGGCATGTTGGCTACACTTTTGCAAGCATGGGATGTGTTTTCTGACATTATATACTTTTTAACAGCAACATTCCAAAGTGACTGGCTTTTTATTGGTTTATTTTACCCCTGTGCTTCAATGCCCATGCAAATCTTTATAATCATCCTTGACTTTTAAAAGGATCTCAGGAACTCTCTTCTGCTTCAGTTAGCACATTGCTCTATTTGAGCTAAGTTATTTTTCACATTTACCAAAGTGTTAGATTAGTAGAGTTTATTCAGAACTCAAATTACTCGGGAGACTTGGAATATTCTTATTTGCCTTTTGAGATAGCCATAGATAGCCAAAAGTAATCTGTCTCTTTAACAGAAGTAGATGTAGAGGGATGACTTATTTCCACAAATTATTTGCAGAGCTCTGTTGTTTGACTATATGAAGTGGACAAAATGGACAAAAACTATCATGCAAAACTGTAACTGCAAGAGCTTCTGTCCTCTGTGACTAGGAACATGGCTTAATCCTGTCAGAATGGAGCTGTGACCAGTGTGCAGGGAGCATCAGTCTTCCCTAATCTTTTATCTTAACTATATATTATTTCTATTGGCACACTGGCTTGTGGCATTCATATTAATTTATTTTTGAGCGTTAACATTTTTTAGTTTATTAAAAAAATATGCAAGTTTTTCTTTACTCAGGTGACCATGTTTTGATGTGTGTATATATGTGTCTAGCAATTTTTGTTTTCCAAATACATTTAACCTTTTCTGTTTGCACTTTGTTTGTTTTATGAGAAGACTTTCTTTTAAGTGGTTAATGTGATATAACAATAGACCGGAGAGAGGAAATATTGTTTTTGACGTGGAATGATAACGCGCGATCTCTTTCTTATGTTTTTGTAGCTGTAGGGCTTGACATGATGAGTGAGGGTGGTATAAAGGCAAGTGGCCATGGTGCCACAGAGGATGACTTGATGCTTCTGAACAAGAACCAGAGAGGCAGAGCAAAACCTGCTTTAGGTTCACCCAGGAAGTCGCCGCGCTTAATGGCTCAAGGTCAGCACCAGGTTTTGATCTTCCCTGTGGAAGAGGTTTAAAGAGGAGTTTTACAAGAAGGCGTAGTCTAGATAAATAATTGGTTTACCCAGGACTGAACTTTTATATGGATCTCATTCATTATTAGACCTTCTACAGATGTTATGAAGCTTAGTAGGCTGAGCTTACAACCATAAGAGTGGAACCTGCTAAGCCCTACTCACCCTACTGCTCGGAAACATTGGAGAAGAGCAGGACCTGTACATGTACCCCTTGTCTTGATTTTTCAGATCTGTGGATTGTGTACTTCGGATCTGAAATTTTAAATAATGTAGAACCGCTGTCCATTTTTTTACTTTTAAGACTATAGATGTTTCATAATATTGAGATGTTCCTTCTGCTGAAACATGAATGACATACTGATGTTAGTGTTATTAATAACAGATTTGGGGTCAATTGAGAATTAAATTACAGTCCTGGTAAATTTCAGTTGATTTCTTGAGCAGGAATTTGAATTGGAATACTTTCAAGAATATAAAGAATTGGAATTTATTTCCATTGAATTCAATGCAATGTCACTCATTTTAAAATCTTTATTTTATACATTACTACAAACAGTATTTTAAACAATGTTATCAGTGGCATATTCTTTCAATGGCTGTCTTAAATGTGGTTCAATCATTTAACAACATTCTTTAAATGAAATGTTCAGGTTGCAAAGCAGGCGTAATTTTGTTTTGCTCATTTATTTTGTCTTTTGTAATTATATTCTAAAATATAATTATTCACTTTTATTTTGCTGCACTAAAAATGTGGGATCATTTGAGGGATCCAGTGCATCAAGCGGAAGACATCTGCATCGTAGTGTTTCTGTGTGACTTGGCGTGTTGGGTTAAATTGTTTTTGTGGTCAGTGTGGCATCATGAGGTGATGCAATCCCTCCATGAATTGATGTACTGGAGTCATGTGTATACAACAAAAATAGAACCCACTTGTTTACAGAAACACGATATACACCTGTGTGGTTACGGAATGCTGTGCCCACCTGAAAGTAAAAAATAGTGAGACTGTGTTCTGTACCGTCTGCTAATATATTTAGAAAGGACAGAATTATAATGTGGGTGTTAGAGAAAACAGGGTTCAGAATTCCTGAAAAAAACAACACTGGCTGAATAGCAGCAAGTTGAATGCAGGGTTTACCAACATTATTACAGCCTCTGCTGCAGATGTTTAAATATGGAGGATTCATTTCCAGGTCAAGTGTAAAACGGTTTTTAATTTTATTTTGTAGAACCTGTTAGGAGTTTGCGACAGAGTACCTTAGCGAGGCGCTCTGGCCCTACAGACACATCTGCTGTTAAAAAATCCCCGGCCAAATCTGGGCAGGGCAGGCGAGGAGGGAGCAAGCAGCTTCAGGAGCAGCCCCAGGAGCATGCCGGGGCAGATATGGGCTCTGAGGAGGAGAAGGAGAAGGCAGAGCTGGCGAGGTGCAGTGGCAGCAGTGGCGAGCCGAAGCTGCCGTCATCAGCTGTTGCCACGGCAGAGACGTCCGCTGTCACCGCTGAAGGAGATGCGAGCAGCAGCTCGGAGACTGGAGAGCCGGCAGAGCCTCCCCAAGACTCTTCAGCAGGAGACACAGACAGCGCGCAGCCTTTGAAAGATGCCGAGGAGACGCTTTGCCAAATAACAAGTGCAGAGAGCGGGGAACAAGACAAGCCCCGAGCTGCACCGGGCTGCGGAAGGGAATCGGGGGCAGGCTTCAGTGCCGCCCCAGAGAATGTGGCGAGCGAGGCTGACATCGGCGTGGCCTCCGAGCTGGGGCCTTGCGTCAACCCCAATGAAGTTCAGGAAGGCCCCCACGTGCTCGTGAGCACCAGCAAAGTGGCGGATTGGGCACCGAGGGACTCGGGTGGGGCAAAGAGGGCAGAGACGGAACCAAAAAATAAGGACCAAATAGCTCAACAGAGACTGGAGGCGAGCAGTGGTAGAAAGATTCAGCAGAGAAGAGCCCAGGATGGAAGCGAAGCCCCGCATCTCGCAGAGCCCACCAAAGCAATGGGGCCGAGCGCGCCCAAGAGTAAGATAGGCCAGCAGCCACTCAGAAAATGGGACCAGAAAGTTGCGGTCAGGAGACAGCTGAAGTCTAAGCAGGTCCGTTCTGTTATGGAACAGAGGAAGCAGCTTTTACCAAATGTACAGGGAGAGAGGATAAGGCCTGAGGTTGTGCCCCAGAAAAAGACCAGGAGTGACTTTCAGAATTTTCTGGGCTTGAAAAGGAAGCAAAGCTTAACAGCCGGGAAGGGGAAAGCGGATGAGCTTAAAAGGAATTTCCCACCCAAGATTCAGAAAACACAGCACAATCAGGACGTGAAGACGGGGAATGTGCACATCCCAGGGCCTCAGAAACCAGCCCCGCTTTTCAGCAAGAGCTCCAAATCTCCCGAGGTAGTTCGCTCTTCAACTAACAGAGCATCATCGTCTCGTGGGGGTCAGGAGAAACCCAAGAGCCAGCACGCAGGTATGCAGGCTGGTGTTGGCAAACCTTTTCATTCACAGGTGGGGCTGAAACCACAGAACCCGCATATAGTGGTGGGTAATATATCCAGCTATGTTCCTGTAGATGGCTTTGACGATGATGACAGGGACAAACCCAAAGTAAAAAGGGCTGAGAAGGGATTGCATAGACAGAGGAGGAGCAGTAGGAGCCTGTCCCTGGACGAGCCGCCGTTATTCATTCCGGATAATGCCCCTGCTGTGAAAAAAGAAGGCCCAGAAGACGATTCCACTGACAGTGAAGCGCTGTGGGATCCCAGCAAGCACTGCGGCTTGTGCAAGAAGCCCCACAACAACAGGTACGTCTCCGTTTCTGTCTGTGGTGTATACGATACTGGCACCTTAAAGAAATAGGCCAAGTACGCTAAACTCTTCAGTTTCATCTCTCCTGCTGCTTAGAATATGAATGATATTTGATGACTGATTTCCATGCTGATTGTGTTTCCTCCTTGCAGCAGGTGTGTGAAGTGGTGATTTAAGATGCAGATTCACAGTCCTAGTCCAGGGGGACCCCTGTGGCTTCGGGATTTTGCTTCAGCCAAGTTTCTAATCACAGGCTAATGGATTTCAGTTTTCTGTCTAACGCTTTTACATTTTTTTCAGCCCTCAACAGCTTGAAGGGAATTTGTAATTGGTTTCTACCCTGGAGTAATTCAGAGCTGCTCTCCTTTTGGTGTTTCAACTGCAGTGTGACCGAAGAAAAACACTGGGGTGCATGAGAGTCCGGTACATCGGCACTCCCACTGGTCACCTATTAAATCGGAGATAAAGGAGTAAATTCTTAACGAGCAAGTTGGGGAAAATAAATGCATGCAATAAATGCAAAATAAATGTTGAACTTGAAATTGCTGCAAACATGCTTTGGAGCGTAAAAAAAAGGCTAGACAATCTTAAATATCTGCGATAAAAGCAGATCAATCATGGACAACTGCAAAGTTGATTAAGGGTCTAGTTGTAATAACCAGCAGACAGGTGGTCCTCAGGAACTGCTGTTTTAAAAGATTCTCTTCACTTGAACTTATAAATTCTTTCACACTTTATTAAGGTTCTTCTAGACCCGGTGGAGAATTACTTTTCAGAAGGAGGTTCAGTAGTTAATACATTGCATTGATTGTGAGCCTTCTTGCTTAAGGATGAAAACATCTTTTGGCAGAATTCCTCCAGTTTGGTTTCTTTGAGATAAATCTACTAACTTTAGTCTTGTTAGGAAAATGTTTATATATATGCCTTTATACGGATATTTACTGTATCTGTGACAGCAGTGTGGAGAAGCAATTAGGCTTCTTGTTCACCTGCAGCACTGGTGGTACCCTTGAGCAAGGTAATTCCTGCAGGTTATTCTAGAAAAACACCCAGCTGTATGAATGGGAGCACATCTGACCTGCTTTGAGTAAAAGTATCAGCTGAATTATTTATTACCTATTGTTATGATTAAGAAATTGGGTTGTTGCATGTGTCTGTAAAGGAATATTACGAATTTTATGTGTGAAGAACGATCAGGGTAATTTACCTCTTCTTCAGAGAAGCTACTGAGTAGCCCATGTCACTTCCTGCTCTGTTAATGGATGACGCGGAGTCTGGCAGTTTTCGGTGTACCAATCTGGAGGAAAGGATGTCGCTGTTGAGAATCGGAAATGTGTTTTCTGTGAAGCGCTGTAGTGATGATAATCGTACAGTGATTTGAGCTCTGAGGACTGTGCCTTGTGTTATACCAGGCGTGAGGAAATCCTGTTCTTAGGAGCCCGAGTCCTGTAGGCTTTACGGAAGCTGATGAAGACTTGAACTAAGAGAGACTTGACCGCTAACCCACGTGGTTAGTTCAGAGAGGTCAAATGTCCAGCACTGGTCATGAAAAGAGGGTGTGTTTTTTAAACTGGCAGGTTCATGGTGGGCTGTGGCCGTTGCGACGACTGGTTCCACGGCGAGTGCGTGGGGCTGGACCTGGCCAAGGCGCAGCAGATGGAGCAGGAGGATCAGGAGTACGTGTGCTTGAAGTGCTGCGCCGAGGAGGACAGGAAGGCGCAGGGCGGGGAGCAGCAGCGCCCCCCGGAGGGCCAGCTGCAGGAGAGCAGGCCTGCCGCCAGGGCGGAGAGACAGGGCCACACGCTGCCGCTGCCCGCGCCCCTGTCTGCGCCCGCGGGGGGCCACCCTCACAGCGAGCTGCAGGACGCAGCCAGCCCGCCGGATGACCGCAAGCACCGCGTCAGGATTTTCAGGAAGGTGAGTGCGCTCGTGTGCTCGCCGTCGCTCAGTCTTGCTCGTCGTTTTACTTCTAATTTCTGTTTCTTAATGAAAAAAAAGGGAAAATGATGGGCTGTCATTTTAAAGAGATTTTATTTTTTAAGTAAGGCTGTTTAGAGCTATTGAGTAATTTTTTTTAATAAGAAGAAAAATGAATCATAATTCAGAATGAACTTTTTGTCCTTTCTACTTCAGGTGCACTTCTGATCCTGGAGGTTAAGGTAGCCTCAGTTCACAGTACAGTTCTCATGGGTTCGCACTGTTTTATGTGCACGTTGTCAGGTGGGCCTGGGCCAACGGGTGTGTGCTGCCACAGTTCACTTAGAACACTGTCCTACTGTAATTCAGGTTCACTTTAAAAAGATCATCTTTAAACATGGACAGTTTTGAGGTGTGGACTAAACAGTGTGGATGCTGTGAGTGGGCAGAGCATTTTTGTTCTATAAAAGTTCATTTTTAGTTATAAGTACGTTTTTTAGGAGCCAAAGCCGCTATAACCAGTTTATCTGTGGTTGGATATAATAAGCTGCTTAAACACAAGTTCTCAGACGTCTGTATGAAAATTTGCGAGAACTACTTGGTTCTTTAACAAGCAGCACGTTGTGAGAGTGTAGGGAGCACAATGAGCACTGCTGTGACAACACCCCCCCCGGGTCTGGGTCTGTACTTTTCACTGCCACGTTTCAGTCGGTTATCATCACTGGACACAATACCGGCGTTCCCACTGCACAGCGCCTCTGCCAGCTGTCCGAACAGCTTGCATGGGATATGGCTTGTTTTCCTAAAGGATCTGAAATGTGTTTTGTCCAACGGGGTGATGTTGGTTTGCTCATTAAAATACACCAAGATAAGTAGGGGCTACCTTTCCTCATCACTAGCATAGCTTTTAAAATGATTTTCCTTAGATTCAATTTGCGTTCTATTAGTTTTAAATATTCACTGAGTTAGCAAGGTGAAGGAGTTCTTGAAAATCTAGAATTTGAAATTTGTTTTTTGTGCAATGATGTCTTATCAGTGATAAGATTAGCGAGATGAACTCTGTGGTACAGCCACTGATTCTGGGGGCACCTTTTCATGTCCTTTCCAAGGTCACTAAAACCAGTAGCAGTCTCATATTATGGGAGAAAAACAGCTTTGAGCCACAAGAGCGTGGACTCGGTCAGTTTTTAGAACACCTGTGATATTTGTGATTGCTTCTTTCATATCATATGTTAGGACTCTGTAGAAAGAAGGCAGTCAGAACAGAAAGATGTGGAGCACAAAAGACTACATTCCAGTTTGGACCACAAACCAGGCCAAGCAATAGGAGTGAAGCAGGGAGACAGCAGGACCCATGTGGACACTGTGCAGAAGTCTGGTAAGCCCTTGTTTTTCTAACAAATTATAAAGATTAGAGCTCGTTGAATGAAAAAATCTTGTAACTGGCACTTGGAGTAATATTTTATTCATAGATAGAACCAGGAATTTGCATTTTCTCCCCTTGTTTACAAGGGTTTTTGCTATGCATTCTAGTTTCTTGTCTCCGAAATGCATTCTGAGTAGATGAGTCCCTACTTTAATGTGTCCATTTTGTGAGAATGGATTCTGGGCACCTCACCTCATGACTTTGCCCTGTCGGGGCTGGGTCTGAAGCCTCTCTCTCCTGTTCCCAGGTTTGAGCATGGGCCTGTGTGATAGAGGTGTGCCCCCACCTAACCAACTGGGTGGCAGTACATGCCTAGTCGATGGGCACGCATGCTGAAGGACTTTAGGTCAAAGGATAGAACACCTAGTTGCAGAGCCTGTCTTTCTGAGGTGGCGGGACCTGGAAGGTCCTGTTTAATAGATTTTTCTTTGAGCTGGTGGCTGCTTGTCTAGCGAAGGACTCCAGTGAGAGTGAACTGTGGTGGTCAGATCCAGCAGAGACTGCGGTGCCTGCGATTGCCTGACAGCACAACCCTGTTTACAGCACAGTGATTTCTGTGTTTAAAAACAGGATGCAATGGAGGACTGTGATGTCATCAGGGTGTGATGTATGTGTTTGTCTGCTCTGGAGAAAAGTGCAAAGTACTGTATCGGATCTGCTGATCAACCAGTTAATGAAAAATGTGTCTTTTTTTGGATGCTTGTTTTTCTTAGGGTAAAAGTTTTATAGAACATTTCAGCTGGATTTCTTACTGTCCAGACATGGTGTGAGTTACAATCAGGTTGTAGGTAAGGTTTAAGACACCACTTAAAGTATCCCCATCTCTGGGGATGTTTCAGCTGAAATTATCTTTTAATGATTAAGTGGTAATTACTTAGCTTGATAGGATACTTATTTTGTCTCTAGATTGGTTCTAGCTGTTGAAGTGTTAGATCGTGTAAAGGATTAGCACCAACCCTACATAAAGGTTTCAGTTTTCCCTTGTTAAGACGTCACAAGTTTAATTTACACGGATGAGGTGGAACAACACCTACAGTAAGGTGTATTTAAAACTGAGAACAGTCCAGGAATATATTACAGTGGCTTAAAGGTTTAAATTGGCCTCAATAATTAAGGAGTGAGATGTCTGAAAGCAAGAAGATTGGGGTGCTCCAGGACCGGGACTGTGGGATCAAGAGATTTCTCTGCATAAGACAAGACCGAATTCTATTTTCAGTGTCTTGATTCTGTAATGTCATCAGGGTGTAACTGTCATCTTGTGAAATTTAGGGATGCATGAGAAACTGGATATGAAGAAGGCAAAAGTTGAAAAGGTTCCTGTCACCTCACCTACAGCATCCAAAAAACCCTCAGTTGAGCAGATCAGAAAGAATGTCCGGGATTCCCTGAAGGACATCCTTGTCAAAAGGTAATATTGAATTTAGCCTACAGCAGCAGCAGTTGGAATTCATGAAAAAATGTGGAAGTATTTATAATTTAACACTATAAGGGCAGATCCAAAAGACACAGGTGTTTTTTTGCCTGCTTGTTCTATTGTAATCCATGTGTGGATAATTACTAATTTACTTCCAGGAGGTGTATGCACTTGAAACATAGTGAAGTTGGTTCTGAGTGTTCTTGGTTAAAGGCATATATGAATTGCTGAACTTGTTTGCAGACTCAGCGAATCTGACATGAAGGTTTCAGCAGAAAGAGCTGCGAGGGTTGCCCTGAAAACGGAGAAGGAACTTTTTGCTTTCTTCCGAGACACCGACTCCAAGTATAAAAGCAAATACCGCAGCCTGATGTTTAACCTTAAAGATGCAAAAAACAACGTAAGTTGAACTTGTCTGATGGAATGACTGAAGGTGAACAGCTTGGGTTAGTGCCAAAATACATATTGCATGTGCATTAGAAAATAATAAGATGTATATTTCATATGCATTTAAAGCGCTTCATACTTGTCTTTTGCCACTCAGGCCTTTTAAGGGAACATAACAAAAACCTCCATTAGTATTTGCAATGCATTTTAATTCAGTGCTAAAAAATATTTGTCTCTAGTTTTAATTTTTTCAAAGATTCTCTTTCTGAAGTTCTTAAAATTAGATTATACATTTTTCTTCCACTCTGCAGGACAGATTTGTATATGTAAAAATAAGAGTCCGTGATAGAAGGACAATGATGCCCCATGTTGGAGAGTCCCTGCACAGTAACTCATAGTTCTTGCTGATCTTGGATATTCTAGGTGTTATTCAAGCGTGTTCTCAAAGGGGAAATCACTCCAGACCATTTGATCCGGATGAGTCCTGAGGAACTTGCATCGAAAGAGCTGGCTGCCTGGCGACAAAGAGAGAATCGACATGTAAGGATGGCTTGTGTTCGTCTTGTTCCCTTCTCCATAAGAGGCTAGAATTAGATTAAACGAGTTGCAGAATGAACAAAAACTCAGACAGCTCACAATCTTACCTGCCTTTACTGAGATTCTGTTGTCCCTCCCAGTTCAGCACTGAGGGTCTGGTCTCACGTTTCCAAGTGCCCTGAGCAGCTCCAGAGCACATTTATCAGCCGTGCCCGAGTTCTAGACAAAATCTGAAGGGTGAACCTGTTTTTATAACATTGTAGTTGGCTTTTCTTTGTTTCCTCAGACAATTGAAATGATTGAAAAGGAGCAGCGGGAGGCAGAGAGGCGGCCGATCACTAAAATCACTCACAAAGGAGAAATCGAAATTGAAAACCAGGAGCCCGTGAAAGAGCCAGAAGCGATGGAGGTGGAGGTAAGGCTGTGTGTTGGTCCTGACCGCAGTGAATGCATTTCTAGAAAGCCCCACAATTGGTAATGAATTAACCTTCAAGCTTCTGTTCTGTTTCTGTATGGATGTTCAGCCAGAGCCTGTACCCAAACCCGCTGAAGAGCCTGTGGATGTTCCTGAAGAGGAGGAATCGGAGATTAGCAAAGACACAACAAGCCAGCACAAGAGACACCTTTTTGACCTCAATTGCAAGATCTGTACAGGTGATTTTGTTATTCTTGTCTGCTTGTTGTTTGTTTTAGGTAGTATTGTACATGTGGTTCTTTTTTGTGAATTTGCAAATTGTAAAGTTTGGTCAATATAGCATTGCTGAAAACACTCTCTTGTCCAGAAGTCTATATTAATTGAAACATTCAGTTCAGAAAGACTTAGTGTATAATACAATAAGCAGCTATAACCCAGTGCCTATCTATGTTGGTGTTTTAAAAGCTTTAAGCATAGTTCTTGTTTGTCCTGTCTGACAAAACAGCTGTGGCAGTGTTTATACCAGCTGAAGAAAAAAAGGGCTTTAGAATTTCTTTCTTTGTAATACTGTAAATTAGTGTCTGATCCTAGAGAAAGCCACAATAGTGGTTCTGACCACAGTTTTAATAACTTATTTTTAGTGAGCATTCACTCATGGGCCTGGACAGCCATAATCCACCATATTTGATAGGTAATGAAAATGAAAACTCCTGGCTAAACGAGGGACAACAATTACATGGATTACAATTACAATTACAGCAAGGGTTTCCATACTGATATAGCTTGTGTTAATTGAGCGAATAACATCACAGCGTGCTTAGAGTCATGATGAAGATCCTGGTGTCATCGGAAGAGGGTGGTTTTTGGGGTGTGTTTGGCAGGAGCTTCAATGCCCTAGACAGCTCTACTTGTTGATGTTTCCCGAGCAGCTGTCTGAGGTCATGTAACCCCACATGGAGCTACCAGGAAAGAAATCATCAGTTGGGGACAGCAGAGCTTCGCAGCATACGCTTCAGAATTGTGATATATGTGCACTGATTGGAAGGGCAAGGCAAAGCAGGAAAGAGGCTGCAGATCAATGGACTGCAAATTTCAACCTTGGGTGTGAGCAGCTAGTTTAATTAACAACCCCCAGAGAGCAGGATGCCATAGTAGAGTTGCAGGGCAAAAAATGTTTATAACACCAGGCAGTGCACGTTTATAAGTCCAGTGGTACAAAGAACACAAGCAGTGGGGAAAAATGCGATTTGGTCAGATAATTCATCCTTCACCACGTTGTCTCTCAAAAGTGCTTAAGGTCCCTATCTAAAGAACTCTACAGCTCTGGTAACTTGTTTCCAAAAGCGAAGGGTTCTGGCAGTAAATGCTAATCGCTGCTCAGTTGTACTGAGTGATCATTGTCTCCCCATGTTGCTGTATTTCCTTCCTGTCGAGAGGGGTATCTTTTGGGATGCCCACTAGTTTGATGACAGTGATATTAATGTTACCGTATATCATTGCTTTCTTGGTCAGTAGAGCAATTATGAGATATCCTTGAACAGTGCCTGGGACAAGGTCTTCCACCTCCATCAATCAGGCATGAGCTGGTTCTTGTGGAAGAATGGCAGACGTGGAATTACAGGCTGTATTTGCTGCACACAGTGGCCCATCTCCTCTGTTAACTGACATTACATTTGTGTTTCTGTTTTTTGTTCACTAAATGTATGATCCTCCAGGCTTTGAAGGGGGACGTGAGTATGTGTGTTTTGCTTCACTTGCAGGTCGAATGGCTCCACCTGTTGAGGATGCGAGTACTAAGGTAGTGAAGGTGGCCACCACTGTGATCCGGAGGCAGTCCAGTGCTGAGGGAGAAACACCAGTCGAAACAACAACCTCTGCTCAGCCTGACACTCTGGCCTTCGGTGACTTAGAGGAGAATAAATCCCTGACTTCCAGGGTCTCTTTCTCCTCTGAGGGGAGGTGAGATTTCATAATGCCTTGAAAAATTATTTTTAAACCTACAGGAAGTTTATGTGAATTATTGCTATTGCTTGCTGGGATAGGCTCCAGCTCCTCTGTGACCCTGTATTGGTTAAAGCGGTTCGAAAATACATCGATAGATGAATCGGTCGACTCTTTAGTGCAGATCCCTTGAAAATATCATACATTTGGAGTCTGTGTACTTTCTGCAATGCCTACAAAGTGACAGACAAGTGAGGCCCAACTAGGTTGAAAGGCTAGTTGAAATATTTTATTAAAACAGAATAAAGTAAAGGTGAATCAAATAAATAT